AATCAACAAAATTAGCTTGCCTTTGTTTGCTTTTAACATCATTTGTTACTTCTTTTTCTTTTTTTTTTTTTTTTTAAGATTTTATCTATTTGTGAGAAAGAGAAAGAGAGAGATCATACCCACAAGGAGGGGGAGTGGCAGGCAGAGGGAGAAGAAGGCTCTCCACGGAGCAAGGAGCCTGACGCGAGATTCGATTCCAGGACTCTGCGATCATGACCTGAGCCAAAGGCAGACACTTAACCTACTGAGCCACCCAGGCATCCCATGTTACTTATTTCATTTTGGTGCTTGAACTAGTGGATAGTGACAACTAAGTCAAATACCTGGTCACATGGTATATTCTGCTGCAATGAGAAAATCCTATCTCTTTTCATACTAGCCTCAAAAGCTGGGTAAATTCAGAGGACCACAAATTCACTTCTCATTGACCTAAATCACTCTGTGTGTGTGTGTGTGTGTGTGTGTGTGTGTGTGTGAGTGAGAGAGAGAGAGAGAGAGAGAGAGATTTAGCTATACTGACAAATTTTATATACTGGAAACATGGATGTTGTTTGACAAGAACATACATGACAAATACTGTCCCTTCCTCATTCTCATTCTGGCCTATGTAACCATTTTGCTGTGATTGGCATAATAAGGAATTCTAAGAAAACCCCAATCTGCTAAACAAAGGAAGAATCCCTAGAGTGGGGAAAAGATGAGTAGAGGCAGATGGGAAAAATACCACAACCATTTTTTTAAAATGATCTTGATTCTTATTTCCATTGTGTTGCCACAGTAGATCCAACTTAGTAGAGTAGACTGGTGATATGCCATGCCATTCCTCTTGAAATTTCTCAGAAAAGTTAAGTGGCTTATTCATCATGGCTTGTGAGTATTGAAGTTCCTGTCATTTTTAAATCCTCTACACTAGTGTTTTTCAACTTATCAGCTCCAAACCACTGGAGGGTTGCAGCAAAAATTTTAAAGAATCCTCAAATCCTTGTGTACATATATATTTTTCTTGATCTACAAGTCAAAAGATATTATGATTATCACTATTATCATGCAGGAGGTCTAGAAAATTGGTTGACACTTAAAAAGAGTACTCTTCTTACTAAACATTTAAATAAATAAAAGGAAACCATGGCTCTATACTTGTGGTTTTCATATTTTGGGGTTTCACAGATCAATATCAATATCATTCATTGTATGTTTTAGAATTTAAAATTATAGTCTTTCAAACTACATGAATTAAGTTTTATGGAAAACTCACTTCATGATTCCTCCCTTCAAAATCAGTGAACATGTTATCATGGGCCAGGACTGGTGTGAAAAAAGGCATTTGGAAGCCTTGCTTCTCACCTTGCAATGCAAAAGAAGGGAAGAAGAGTATAATAGACTCTGTAAGTGGTTAGGATGGGTTTTAGGAAAGGAAACATACCTATGAGGATCATTTATCCTTCTCTGGGCTGACTCTTACCTGGCATCACTTGTTGGTGATTACAGTCATCAGCCAACAATTAATTTCAGCTCTGAGAATTGCCGCCTCAAAGATTAGTGACAGAAATGGTAGCTCCCAAGTAATTCAAATTCTTTCTAACTTAGAAATGATTCATCATTACAGGTTATGGGAGACAGACAAAAAGAGCTCACATATATTTTGCCCATTTTTCTTTATCTTTTCTCCACATGGGTTAGCCAAGGAGTATAATTACCTTTGTTGGTTAAAAAAATCGACTTGGGCTAAGAAAAATAATGTGGCAAATACTGACAGATAAGCTGTTTCATCCATTCAGTAAACATTTGCACAATACCTACTATGTGCCAGATACTGTGCAAAGAATTCAGCAATTAAAAACAAAGAATATCAGCAAAAACAAGCCCTGCTATGAAAACACACGGGAAATGTACCTAATCTAGAATGACAATGAAGGGATATACAGCTTCCCAAAAGAGATAACATCTGAGCTAAATCCAGAAAACTTAATAGGGATGAGGCAAAACACTTGCTAGAGTGAACAGCATGTGCAATCATGAAGCTTCTTGACCTGACCATCTCTTTCGTCATCTCAAAAATGGCTGATCTTTGTATACATCCACCATCTTGAGATGAAACCAGAACCTGACCTGTCAGAAGGGGTCTTTATTACCTGTCAGAAGAAATGGTTGCCCTGCCGTACTGCCTTGTAAGGTCTTTTCTTCTGGGTTAAAAGAGTAAAACATAAACAAGGACAGGACAACAGGGATGGTCCTGCTGCCAAATATTCTCATACATGTGGCCAGGCAAAGGGCCAATGTTAATCACAGCCTCCAGCACCTGCATACCCTCAGCTGGGGGGCTCAGTTCTCAAAGAGAAATTCATATAAGGCCTGTCAGCACCTTGCTGTCTGCCTCAGGACAAGGCTATCTAGGAACTTGCCTGAATGTTTCCCACATGCTACAAATCCTGCTTCTCAACATTTACATAGTTTTTGGATACTGTAGTCTCAAACTGTAGCACAAAATAATCCTTCACAACCTGTACTAAGAGGTAGGCTGAAATTCAAACACCTCCCAAAGTTAAAAGGAGGCACCTGTGTGATGCTCAGAGACATATGTGAAGAGAAGGTTCTTCAGTTAACAAAGGCTACCTTAGAGGCAACCAGTGCAGCTGCAAAGGTCTTCCATGTACCTAAGAGTCCTCATGTTTGGTTCAATGCTCTGTGGTCACCTTCCTGAATTATGGTAATTTTTTTTAACATGGAAGCATTCACACATTTTCATTTTGCACTGGGATCCAAATTATGTGGTGAGTCTTGACTACTTTCCCCACCAAAGAGGAAATGGGGAGCCCAGTGAAGGGCCTGGATTCCTGTAAGAGCACTTAAAATGGAAGACTGGGTTATAAAACAGAGAAAGGTAAAAGTAAGAGCACAGTTTTATAGTTTATAAGGAAATTTAGCATTGTTTGCTAAGCCAGAAGCCCATAATTTTAATTTCTCGAGCCATTATAAAATTTGGTACTTGGAAACACTGACTTTAATTTTATTGCTTTATGGACCTAATGCAGCCCCCTTCTGTTTCCGTAGTCTGGAAGAGTGGCCCCAAAGACATACAATTAAATGGCCTCAAAAGATACACAATTCACAGAATGACATAAAAATGTACCACATAGGGTGCCTGGGTGGCTCAGTTGGTTGAGCAACTGCCTTCAGCTCAGGTCATGATCCCAGACTTCTGGGATCGAGTCCCGCATCAGGCTCCCAGCTCCTTGGGGAGTCTGATTCTCCCTCTGACCTTCTCCTCTCTCATGCTCTCTCTCACTCATTCTCTCTCAAATAAATAAATAAAATCTTTAAAAAAAAAAATGTACCACATAGTGTCAAAGCCAAAGTCTGAAACAACTTTCTCTGTAGTGATTTCTACTCTATGTCCCAAATGACAAGAGATCACTCTCATATTTGTCTTTCTCTTTACCTCAACTCACCATTCAGTTCCTTCTCAACCACAACCTTACTTCTTTCTCCCTGTGGTGATGTAAGTATCAGTCTTATTTGGCAAGTACTTTTCACATCACTAACCTTGAATTTTATCAGGACTGACTGCATAATTTGCAGGGCTCAGTGCAAAATAAATGTGGGCCCCTTGCTCAAAATTTTTTATACAAATTTAAAGACAGCACTAGTAAGAGCATTAAACCATGCATAGGGCCCTTCTAAGTATGGGGCCTGTGTGACTACACAGCTGAACACCCAAGAAGCCAGCTCTGAGTCTCAGTGGCCAAAATTGCTTCACGTACCCATTCCTTAACCAATCACTGTTAAGTGGGTTGTCTAGTTTAGCCTTAGACTAAGAACTGATCTCCTGGAGCTGGGCATAAGTTCATTTTCCCCTGGTATCTGGTGACAAGGATTCATGAGGAAAACCAGGCTTCTTTTGAGTAGAAGTGAGGAAGGCATTGTTGCTGAGAAACCAACAACAACATCTACTACATTATATGTCCATGACTAAGAAAGTGGAGGTCTTCTTCAGAAGCTCCCTTTGGAGCAAGCTCTGGTCCCTAGGGCCTTGAAGATCAAATCCAACCTACTTAAACTGCCAACTCTTGAGTCCCAGGCTCCCATGCACTTCAAACCTCTCCTCTGCTGCCAACCCTTTTTACAGGTACCTGCAGGGGTGAAAAGATGTGATTTCTGTCCTCCTGATCATTATCCTCTAAGGAACCAACACTAAGAGACTATAAAATACACAAAAAACTCAAATAATAGAAAAAATTAAAAGAAAAATGCTAATTAAAATCCACATGGTATTGCTAAGAGTTTGGGGGAATATTGGATTTACAAGTGCTAGGTACAATCCTCACTAGGAGTTAGTATTTGCAGGGCGGGGGGGTTGGGTGAGCCTGGTTGTGGTATTAAGGCAGGCACGTATTGCATGGAGCACTGGGTGAGGTGCATAAACAATGAATTCTGGAACATATATACACACACACACATACACACAAATTAAATTAAACTAAAAAAAAAGAACATACTTCTCCATGAAAAATAATATTCATAAATGTTAAGTTCTTCCATAATTTTACTTTACTAGATTCATAGAAAAATAAAACTAAATAAAATTTAAAAAAAAATAGGAAAGGAAAAAAACAGTAAATGTTTGCTGAATTCCAACATCATTAGGCCATAACTTATCCTTAGTTAAATTAGACAATATAATCAAAATTTCTAGATTATCTCATTGTTTTGGACAGACACTTAGTGGTAGTAATGAAAAAAAAATCCAAGTACTTGGAAAATATGAGAAATACAAGATTCTACATCTGGAGCCTCTGAGTTATCAGTTAAGGTTAGATCACCACATTAAGAGCAAGGTAGTAACACATTTAGGTGTGAATATATAATATGTGCAAAGTATAATTCTAAATATGTTTCTCATATTTGGAAACTCAAATATGTTTTTCATGTGCTTTCATTTTCAGTATAAGTTTAATTAGTTGTACCTGATTAGAAATTAAAAAGAAACTTTAAAGACATACTTTGAATTTCAATGATCTTCTGTAAAGAAACAACAGCATTCATATTTGGGGTTTGGTGGAGAATATCCTCGGCAAGCGGCTCCAGCTGCAAGAATAGTAGATAATAATGAGCGGAATATTATGACTTTATAGTAAATCTGAAAGAAGCAAAGCAAACTGAAACAATCCCACCCCAAAGCTTGCTTGAAGAACTAGTTAATATTTTCATTTTGCTGAGAGCAGTTCTGAAAGTATAGCCAGTTTTATTTTCTGTTTTGCAGCCATGTAATTGAATTCCAAGGGGCTTTTATATTGGTCACAAAACTAATCTATGAAGTCCGTGAAGCAGGTGCATGTCTATGTATTATTCGTTAGAAATCTGAGTTATTTGTGTAATTTTTGTAGGTTCTTTACAAACCAAATTCCATCATGTCTGTATATGCAGCTGGGCCCTGCAAACAAAACCTCAGGGAAGTTGCAGTACACAGAAAGTGGGCAGTCTATTATCTGTACTTTTGCAGTGTTTTTATATTCAACCACTTTACACTTCTGGACACTTCACAATAGAAAGCCATGAGACACAGCTGCTCTTATCCAACTGCTATTAAATAAATGGTAGAGAAAATGTTCAAACAAAACCAAAGCTAAATAACAGTGCATTTTTAAGGGGAAAAAACTGCACATTTTCATTTTACTTCTAGTGTTCTTATAACTATGCAGATGTCCATGTGGAAACATGGGACAAATTCCTGCCTTGCAAATGTATAATGATCTTCTGGAATTACACTGATTTTTCAAGGACAAGCTTAGCAAACAGTGCTTTGCAAGAAATGAAGAGGAACTTTAAGTAATTTATGGAGTGTTTTGGCAGAACTAAATCTGATGATACATCCTGGGAATACCTTGATCATGTAGCTTGGTGTATAGCACCAGGAACTGCATAGCCAGAACACTTGCAAACGAAAGGAAAGTAATAATAACAAAGGTATTAACAAAAAAAGGAGCTTTCTTAGAAAATTTAAAGTCAATAGTCTCAAATTCAAACTGATGGTCAAATTATAATATGGCATGAAAAGGAACCGATGTCACCACACACTGTACTGAAATAGAAACTCATCTGTCTCTTCATCTGAAGAAAAGAACCTAAAAACTCAGGAATTCCAAGTTTCTACAGCATATGTGAGTGAATCTTCCCCCCAGGGTCTCTCTGAATTGATTATTCTATACTTCAGTCATGGAATCTAAAACAATAGCACCTTTCTTCCAGATGCCATAGGATAACCAACTAGCTTAGGGATATTTATACATGGGTAAATTCACTAAATACAACTTTCAAGAGTGTTTTTCTTAGCTGCCAAAGAAAAACCTTTAAAACATCAAAACGTTATTTGCAATACAGTTTAGTGAGAAAGAAAGAAGTGTCAGTGTAAAGGCTCTGTAATCTCAAGTTCTTACAATTTTTAAAAATATTTTTTAAAAATCTGGTATTTTAGATAGTATCTTCAAGAATATGTTATCCTAGTAACAAGCTCTTAACTCAGAGACACTAATGAATCATAGGCAGAATGTTACTTGGAAAACTTATTCCAGAATTAGATAGTGTTGAGCTATCTTGCTTATAAATACTCTTTCCTTTCACTCTGTCTCAGAGATTAGAGAAAAATTTTAATAGAAATCAGATGCATTTTACTAATAAAACATTTTGAAACATCACTCAGTGTTCAAATATCTAAGAACAAAAGAACGAGGTGATTTCAGAATATAGCTTTCAAAAAGCTTTTCTGAGACATTAGAGTAAAAACGCTGACAAACTGAAAGGTGCTGGCTACCGCAAAGAAAACTACAGGAAGATCTTTAATGTAAAAACCTCACTTCTGGAACTCTCTTGCATTGAGGTTTGTGGGCTATTTTTAAGACCTGGGTTATGCAGAACATAAATGTGATTCAGAGTACTGAGAGTAAAAATACAAACAACTCTAATTTGGAATCATCATTTGGATATGATAAAGTTGTGTCCACTTATAAAAGCAACCTAGAGAATTAAAGCAATTACACTGATAATTTAAACCTCCCCAAACCATTTCCCTGCATGTTTTAGGTGAATGCCATTTAGAGGATTTAAACTTCAATAAATTGCCCCAATCTTCTTCATTTTTGAGGGTATACACACAGAGATGAATTCAGGAAGTTCTCAATGTAGGTTCTTTATTTTTTCTTTGGTAGCTCTGCAGAGAAGATAATAGGTAATACTCTGAACTGACAAGAAGGCAAATGACATTTAGAGTCTGTTTTTATAAAATTAAAACCTTGATAGAGGGACCACAGAACTGAGTTGTCTTTTCTAGAGTGCTGATTTAATCATTCACAATTAATGTGCTTGCTTTGGCAGCACATATAATCATTCACAATTAAAAGCACTAAAAACATCTGATTAAAGCAGCTATTTAACAAATATTTATAAGTATTGGTCATAATTAGTAATCTAATAACTAACTGTAATGAAATAATATTAAATGAACAGTCATTTTTCTTAAATTTGGGCAAAATCATTGCCTACTGAGGCTAATCAATGTTAGAGTTATTAAAAAATAAGGATGTATTTTATGTAAATCAGAGTACTTTGTATTTAAAAAAAGATAAAGCCGATGCAGATGTAGAAAATATCTCACACCCATCATGCTATTTCATCAAGTAATAATTATTATCACGGAGTAATAAGACACACAAGGTAATTTTAACACAATCTCTTGACACATGAAGTTCTCATGCAGCTTTATTAGGTCTAAAGCTTAAATGCAACCATTACTTATAGAATTTTATAGAAATTTTCTGACTCTGTGACAAGGACATTTATTTTTTTACATTTTTTACACAAAGTGGCAATACCATATTGATGTACTTCAGATATTTGGTAAGTTTTACTTATCATGTAATTTCTAAGTATACAGCTATTTTGAAACACCATAAAATTGTGACTGTTATAATGTAGTAAGTAATTTTCATATTCTTTAGAATCAAATCATTTAAATAATCAAAAGTCATTTTAGTTGGCTAAGATGCATTTATAGAAATAGGCAAGAGTATCCTTGGAGAAGCTCCTGAGTAAGAGTTTTAAAACTCACTCTGTACTCATGAGACATGAAAATCAACTTTATTATTTTCATGATTCAGAACAGAACAAAGCTAAATAAAGATTTTGCAAATAAGTACATGAGGATAGATGTATACGTTAATCAAGCAAAGAATCTAACTACTCTTGTTAGCTTTTATGTTTCCCAAATATGTCAAGCATTTTCACACTTTAATGCCTTTATCTGTTCTGTTTCTGCTAAATTCAATTTTCTCTATCCTTATTTGAATGGGTGAAACCTTACTAAATCATCCAAAGACCAAAACAAACATTGCCCGCTCTGTGATATCTTTTCTAAAATTCTGATAGAGCAAATTACTTCCATCTCTGTGCTTTCTTTCCACCAAATATTCTTTTTTACTCTACACATTATTGTGGTAAGTCATCTCTGTCATTTTCTATTTTGTTGTGAGCCACTTAAAGGCAAAGATAGAACTTGGGATAAGATGGGTATTTTTTAAAATGTTGAATGAATGACGAAAGATTAATTGAAAGAAAACGTGAGGAGGCTGCCTTTATTTGACCCTTCAGAGCTAAGAGACATAAGTGGAATAGGTTCTCCCTCTTGGTTGCCTGCTATAGTTGGGGTATGGTTTAGAGTGAAAGACTAGGAATAACAACAGTGATGATTCATTTCTAAATCAATAAATTGATTTTAATTGATTTTTGAACTTTAATTGATTTTTAAATTGAGCATCAATTTCTTTTCTTTTCTTTTTTTTAGATTTTATTTATTTATTTATTTGACAGCCAGAGATCATAAGTAGGCAGAAACACAGGCAGAGAAAGAGAGGGGGAAGCAGCCTCCCCGCTACAGAGAGAGCCCGATGCAGGACTTGATCCCAGGACCCTGAGATCATGACCTGAGCCAAAGTCAGAGGCTTTTTTTTTTTTTTTAAAGTCAGAGGCTTTAACCCACTGAGCCACCCAGGCACCCCGAGCATCAATTTCTTTAAACTTATTAATTCCAGTAATGTATATATGAATAATCTTGTATAGATTTTCTATATACACAATTATATCATCCATAAAAAATAATAGATTTGTTTACTCCTATCCTCTTTTTATTTATTTTTTTCCTACCCTATTGCATAGTCTAGGACCACTGTGCAATGTTAAAACAAAGCAATAAAAGTGAGCATCTTTGCCCAATTTTTGATTTCAATGAAAAATTCCCATATTTCCCCCTTAAATCTGATGAATACTGTAGAACATTTGTAGATATCCTTTATCAAGTTAATAAATTTTCTCTTTATTCCCAGTTTTTCGGAAGTAGTTATCATAATGGGGTGTTTAATTTATTAACTGATTTTAAGCATCTATTGAAATGGCATACTTCTTCATCATTCTCTCAATGTAACAAATTATAATTACTTATTTTGGAATTTTTTTTTTGAAGATTTTATTTATTCATTTGAGAGAAAGGTGGGGCGAGAGAGCACAAGGGAGAGGGGAGAGGCGGAGGGAGAAGCAGACTCCCCGTTGAGAAGGGAGCCGGGCTAGGGCTGGATCCTAGGACTTAGAGATCATGACCAGAGCAGAAGGAAGATGCATAACCACTGGAGCCACCCAGACGCCCCTTATTTTGGAACGTTAATATGTTCCTGGCTTAAATACAACTTTGTTATGGGTTTTTAAGATACTGACAAATGGCTAATATTTTGCTTAGTGTTTTGGCTGCTATGCTTACGTGCAAGATTTTCTTATAATAGTCCTTTCTTATAATGTTCTTTTAAGTTTGAGGTATCATATAATACTGGTCTCAAGAAATCAGCTGTCAAGTGTTCTTCCCATCCTCTCCCTCCCTTTACTCTAAAACAGTATAAATTATAGAATTCACTGACAAAGCTATAGGGTTCTAGTATTTTCTTTTGGTAAATTTGGCATTCAAGATTCAATTTCATTAATAATTACAGTGCCATTCAAATTTTCCATCTTTCTGACTTGGTTTTTGCAAAGCTGTATTTTTGTAAGAA